GGTAATAGAATGTTGCAGCCTGAAAGTTAGCAAACTGATAAGAATTTATCTCCAGAATTCTAGGCATTTTAGAATCATCCTGCTAATCACTGTAGGCAATGCTGGGTTGTTTAGATAAAGGGACAGAGCTGTAGATGATGGATTTACTCTGTTGTACTAGTTGCCTTCCTTCAGTTCCCCCACCTCTTCAAATTATGGCTCCATATAAGATAGATTAGTGTAAACTGCTGCTCATTGGGTTTAAGAGGAACAATTTTCTGCAGCTTCTTCACACTGGCTTGAAAGGAATAAAAAAACCAACAACCCAACCAAACATTCTGCTTAATTAAGACCTAAAGAGGAGGTGCAAACTTTTGATGATTAATTGAAGCATGCTTTAGACTGATGCATATTTAGTTATTATAATGTGATAATTTTATCTTGTTATACAAACTACTCCCTTTGGGAGCATAATTTAACACTGCAAACACTCGGTGTTTATCGCATTGTTCATTATGAAAAATACACAAGCTAAAAACTGCAAGGAGATGCATCTGAACAGAATCTGTGTGGCAGGTGCAGGGACTACTGCTTCCACCTGTAGTGACACAACCCAGGGGCAGAAAAACACAATATTGGGACTTTCACAATAGCTCTCCCTATGAAGAGTTGAGAACTCAAAAAAAAAAGCAGAGGTTGGGGATTCAGATCTTGTGCCATATGTGAAAGGAATATGTCTTTCTATTACCTGGTGTAATCATAGAAGGCAGCAGTATGGATGTTTTGCTGAAAACTCTTCTGTTAGTATTCACTTGTCTCTGTGCCAACTTCTCTTTGTCTCACTGTAGGAGTACCTACCGGTTGTGAGTGTTACAGATCTGAGAACATGCTAAGCACATTGCAAGAGCAGGCCATAAAGTTGCAGGCCCTGGTGGAGAAAATAAATACAGTTGTTAAAAAGTATTTTCTTTCACTTCAAAATTATCTGTATCAGGATTTGAAAATGTTATTTTTGTACTTTACAAATGTGTCAGCCTACTTACATGACTCCTAAAAGTGATGGGGAATGATCTTCATCAGAAGAGCTGCTCTGGCGAGAGCTCACATGATAGACATAGGCATGCAGTCAGGATGAGCTCACGTTACTCAAGCAGATATGCTGAGCCAGACTACCAGCACAAGTTTGTCTGTGAGCAAAGGAGAACATTTCAGACATAGTATACTGATGTAGTTACTTTGGAGAAGCTTTCTTAGGGCAGATCTAGTTAGAAAAATATTAGAATAAAAATTCAAGACTGATTTCACTTAAACAGTCTCAAACTTCTGGATTTGAAACTCCCCGCTTCCGATGTTCTCATCGCAGCGGGTTCTTCTTGCTGAGTGTTCTAGGAACGGGGATTTGATACATTTTCCTGAAAGAAAGGCAAAAGTGTGGTAAAGTGATTTTTAAAGACTTTGGCCTCACGAAACAGAGGTCTGTGTAGAAGTGAGAGGATTTTATCTTGAATGGAAGATACGAATTTCTGGTTTCAGATTATTCTAATTAATTTGAGTTTAGCAAAAGACAGCAATTAAGGCATGAGATTTTGGCTTTTCTTCTTTCACACAATCTCAGTGTTTTGAAGTTTTAAGTTACTGCTTCCCACTGCTGTGGATTGTAATGGTAGAAATAGGTGGACTATTACTTTTCCGTTACTCTTGCAGTCCTCTTTTTCAGTCACTAAGCTTAATACACTGTAATGAAACATCCCTATTAGTTACTTTCACAACGTCTGCTCAGACCTCTACTGCAACCAGTGTCAAGACGGAAAGCACGCGATCAGGTCTGGACCTTTATCACTGTCCCCATCTGTCATCCGAGCCCATAGGACATGGCTCTATACCTATCCCAGGTACCAAGAATAGGTCCTTTTCTCTGCTGTTCTTAGCTTCACTTGAAGCTGAAGAAAGGATTTTATTTTAGAGCCAGTCTTCGTCTCACTAGGCTGCACAGGGCTCTTGTTGATGGTTGTTAGGGAATTAGTTATGTGGCACTGGATGTTTTTGTTTTCCACCTGATGAACTGCATTACAGGAAGTTAAGGAGTTGCTTCAGAAATTGACTTGGGCAAACTTATGCCTGATGGAGCAAAGATGACTTAAAAAGTGACATATTAGTGCATCGTTTCAGGAAGTACATGCTCCAAACTCCCTTCTGAAGTACTGTTTCCTGACTGCTTTACGTTGCCATACTCAGCTAATCCTTTTGTAGCAGTGTTCCTGAGTCTATTAAATAGAAGTGGCATCTAGTTTTATTATTGCTGCTACTATTTTGAGGATTATATTGTGACCATTCTTTGATGACTGGGGTGAGAAGGGAGTAAAAGAGAGAAATAATTGAAATTCTTTGTATTTAGGCACACTCCCTTCTTTCAAAATGATGAATATTTTCATTAGTATTGATGATGCCTCCTGGATATCAGCTGTCTGTTCCTGGAAGTGCAGACAGTGGCTGGAAGTAGCAGTTTGTAGACCATTTTCTGCTGTTTTATTGACTGTCAGATCCATGGACCACAAGTGAAGCAATGCTGCTTCCAAGGATTCCTCTTGAGGTGGTGGTGACGTTCTACTGGTCAGGGCATGGTAAGACAGCAACTTGACAGAGTAAGTGCCTCTTCCCCTCCTCTATCTCAGAGGAAGCCTTTAGCAAAAGGTGGTGGATTGAGCCTAACTGTCCAGCATAACCCCCTTCATAGAAGTGTGTAATGCAGCTTTTCCATGTAAACAGCTGTTGCTGCAGCTGGAATGCTATGTAATTGAAAATGGACAGTTGTGTGGTCTTTCTTACCACCCATGGGAGAAGTTCATGTGTGTCAGTGAACAGCAGTAGAATGACAGCTGAGGGGGCTCCCCAATGAAGCCCGTCATCAAAGCCCCTGAAAATCCCAGTGGTGGAGCTCTGTACTTCTTAAAAACTGTGCCCCAGATGAGCCAGCCTGCTTCAGAAAGACCAACTGCAGCATGTACTGTGCCAGTGAAATCTCTTTCAGCTCATTTCCTTTGTTTATTTTATGTCAGTTACTTGCACCAGAAACGAAGGCTATTAGAAAGGTATCACTGGTCACAGATCTTCTGTTTTCCAGGGATAAAATACTTCGTATCGGTAGGAGAATATATGTTGCTGTTACCTGAAACAAGAGGTTTCAGTCTGTTTGCTTTGGTTTACAGCATCTTCTGTTGTCCTTATACATTCAAAGGGGCAAGTTCATTCTGTAACAAATTGGTTTATTATGGTGCAGAAGTAGCTGAATCAATGCACCTTTGTAAAAGCTTAGTACTTCAAATGACTCAGGGTAAAAATAGGGGGAAGAGCTCTTGGGCTGTGCTGGAATAGATAGAATCCTGGCCAAGGCTGTTCCACAGAGAAAGCTGTGATGACACTGTGCAACACCACCGTAACAGCACTTTGCACTCTTCTGTGCCTGGCTGAGATTGCAGCCAGCCCAAGGGCAGGTTTCTTGACCTTATAGATGGCTAGTGATAATTTAGGCCAAATTTTTTGATTTTCCTTGATGTTCAGTATATGAAAGCATTTATAATATTGGCAAATCCCACTCTAAAGGGTAAGTGATAAAATACATTAAACACAAATCTGTGTTATAACTTAGCCTTAAATATACTTTTAAAGGTAGACAGTATGATTAAAACTAAAAGGTTATTATTTTGCATTGTACAGTTTTACTTCTAGCTATAAATCATAATACAATTTGTGGAAGGAAAAAAGTTATTAAACTGGCAATATTTATTCCGTTAAGGTGAATAAAATGCAGCATGTAGTTCTGAGTTATGATAGCTGGGGAAAAGAGCCAAATCACTCTGCTAAAAATCAGTTTGCCAATAATTTTACAGAATGATGACAGCATAGCTTCAAAAACAAATCCTTTATAGGGAAATGGGATGGCTGCATGACAGACTCCCTGAGCTATGAATTCTCCACAGCTCATGGACCAGGAACTGCTTTAACAATTAGTCTCTGGGGATTACTTTTTTTTTTTACAGAAGTTAGACAATGGCTGCTGTCTGTAACTGAAAGGTCAACTGTATCATAGACTGGACATGAGGACTGGAGAATTCTGAGTTTTAAGTCAGGAAGATTCCTGCTAACTTACTGTCTTGATCTGTTTAGGAGCCTTAACTACTCATTGCCCAGTCTGTGAAGCTGGGGTGGGAATGATGACCACACAAGGATATCGTTAGTACTTCAGTAGTAAGCCCTGGGTTTTTTTACATGGCAGAAGGCATAGATGCCACATTTGTAACACACATTGGAGAAGAGCTCGAAAGAGGTTCAGGAACTCTGCCTGAATTAAAAGTTGACCAATGAGTGCGATGACTGGAAAGTAACCCAGCAGGCTTTTACCACAGTGCTGCATCTTCCTTCTTGCTCGAGTCTGTTTCTGTGACTGCAGTATTCACACAAAAGTTCCCTGTTTTGTACACTAGTCATTATTTTGAAGCAACACAGAAATGGGGGATTTCATATGCCTTCTTACTTAGAAAAGGCCTTATGTTAGAAACTTGCCTTGGTGCAGTACCCCTTGGGTGTGTTTTGTCACCAGCTTACTGAGCAGAACATCTTAAGGGCTCACTACAACAGACTGCAAGTAACAAGAACAAAGCAGCAATACTCATTGAGCGTCTAGTCTTGGTTACTTGTTTAATGAAGAGTTGTGCACTCTGAAACATGCTAAAAGCTCTTGAGATTTCCAGAGCTTTTCAGCAATGCACCATTTTTTTTTTAAGGTAATAATCTTTTCCAGCCGTCTTAGAAGCTTTGCCAGTCTGTTGAGCCTGGCTGGTACAGGTCACTGCCTGCCTCAGGATGAACTTGGTGATCACAGGCGTGCACAGTTCAGCTCTCAAACAGTGAGGAAGTTAGAAATAAGATGAGCCGGTGCTGGTTGTAGCTAAGAGTAGGTGTGCAGATGTCTAAGGAAGGTGTTTGCCTCTCATGTAAACATTGTTCTTATATTTTTGTTGTAGAAGATGATGTGTCAAATGTACAAATAATGTGTGCCTGGTGCCAGAAAGTTGGAATCAAGCGCTATTCCCTGAGTATGGGAAGTGAAGTGAAATGCTTCTGCAGCGAGAAGTGCTTTGCAGCTTGCCGAAGAGCATATTTCAAGAGAAACAAGGTAAGAGAAATAAGGAAAGATGTAACCTACATAGACATAGCTTTAATGAGGCCCAGCCTGGGTCTCATTTGGCATCTAATAGAAGCTCTTTTCTTTTGTCTCTGTTTCACCTAGTCACTCCACTTTCCATCTGTATTGTCTTTTGGACTGTCAGCCCTTTACTAACCTTGTTTCTTTCAGTTTCCTTCAGCTCAGTGTTTGGGTTTTGTGAGAGTCAGGGGATTTAAATACTAATAAGCATAAACATAAGAGTCCCAGTTTGGGCTCAGAGTCTCAGGATACTTGCTAGATACACACAATGAAGAGGAGGTATCATGGAAATAGGGTAGAGGAGGGTTTAAATATGACAGTGTCACTAAATCCCATGATGTTGGGATCATGGCCAGTGGGTAAATACTTTTGTGGCCTAAGTCTGGGTACCACCACAACACCAGGCATCTTCTCACAGTAGCTTGTGAGTTCTAGTTTCTTTGTTTTAAAAAGTATCATTATTAATAAATTATCATTGCTGCAAAATTCAGATGCTATACAGTTTTGAGGTTGGGGTAAGCAATGTTAGAACATCTAAAGTAGCATAAAAAGCCCTCCTACTCAATTTAAATTTAACTCTGTCTAAAATTAGAATGCAATCCTAATATTGAATGTCTACAAAAATTGCTGTAATCACTGAAGTACAGTGCCTGAAAATGCCCTCTAGGTTACTTCAGCAGCTGTTTTTCTGCAGCAGAATGTGTGATGTGTCATTTAAAGAAAAATAACGAAGGAACACTCCAGCATTTTTAGTTGTTGAAAAAGTAGCTATGTCCTCTTGGTGCTTAATAGCGTGGGCCTTTGTATAGCCTTTATTGACTTAGATATGTTTATTACTCATAAAACCCTTTACATTTTGGATTTTTAAATGATGCCATTTTCCCTAATGCTTCAGAACATTCAAAACCTGTCAAGTTCAAGCTGAATTCAGGTCTCTAAATCTGGTGTTTTACATTTGTGGTAATAGCAGATAAGTACATATGGATCCTAGATTCAAGATGCATTGTTATAACAAATTAACCTTATTAAAATTAGGTCACATAATCCTTTAAAAAAACCTCAAAACAACACCAAAAAGCCTGAAGAATTAGGTTGCAAAAATCAGCAGAGTGGAATTTTAGTGGCCGTCTTAGAGAATCAAGCTCATAATGTCTACTGGAGCAGACAGGCAAGCTAAAGTCACATGAGTCTTCTGTGAGAAATGGTGTTTGTATCCTTTTTTTATCTAGGAAAAAGTGTAGAGGAGGAATGGATAGTCACGTTCCTTAGATGCTCCTCATTTGAAAATAAGTTCCTATGGATGTATGCGTGTATACGCACATGCACGTTTATGCACATGCAGTTCAACATCCTTACAATGTGTAAGACACTCTGGGTTCACAGGATCCAGATCACCATCTGCTGATGCTCCTGTGACTTTCAGTCACAAGTGAGGTCTCATGAAAGCAGAGTAGCGGGGCAGGATCACCTCCTTCCACCTGCTGGTCACGTTCCTTTTGATGCAGCCCTTGATATGGTTGGCCTTCTGGGCTGTGAGCACACACTGAAGCCAACTCATGTTAAGTTTCTCATCAACCAACACCCCCAAGTCTGTATCGTTTCTTTCCCCCCAAGCCTGTACCAGTTCATGATGGATTCTCTTTCATCTACAGCTTAGATCCTGAAATAGGGAGTTTAGAACCCTACTAAATGAAAATAAATACATGTTAGTATAATGCATAGGCGTATTTCAGCCTTCTAATAACCCGTGAGTGGTAGGATTGACTACTAGTTTATGGCCATGAATGTAATCAGTCAGGCAATATTTAAAAAAGTCCACTTTTACCTAACTTACTCTTTATTATCTGTGTGCTTTGTTTGGGGCTTCCTTGTCCATATATTATGAGAAAGGATGAATTAGAGCATCTCAATCCCCCTGGTTCCCTTTGCTACACTTCTACTAACTTCTTCTAGGAGCTAAAAGATACTGAATATTTCCATTCGAAAAGCTCACTGTATTCATTACTTTGTATATATCTAAATAACAATAGATGGTCCTATTCTTTTCATATACCATCATATCCCAGTGGAGCATCCTATTCTTCACTTAAGAGGCTGCAAATTAACAAAATGTCATATGGGAGGACTTGGCAAAACATGGTGAAATAACATAATTCGTAACATGTTGGTTGCTGCATTGGCTCTGCTTCAAAGCTAAGCCAGTAAGTCAAATTTTCTTCCTCTTTGTGCTCTGCAGAGTCTGGAATTGCACAGGGTCTGGCCCAGCAGGGGAAATCTGGAGCTGCCCCTTGCATGTGTAGTTATGACATTAGATGAATATTTAGGAAATGCTGCCATTAAATTAAGACAAGTGCAGTAGAACTCAGCAGACCCTCTTCTTGTTTTGCCCTTCACCTGTTAGTAGTAGAGCAGAGTCTTGGGGAACAAGATCAAAGGAACAGGGCTGCGATAGTTTCAGATTTAACTACTGACCTTTAATCCGTTATTACTAGTCCAACAGGGTACCTGTCTTCTCCATGAGTCTAATGCTTATTTATGTATTTGAGAAGTTATGCTGCTCTACACTTTCTCATTTTTCAAACAGAGGAGTAAAATAGTCACGTTCACCTGCCTTATGTATGTTTTAAACAGTGGATCTGCCACAATATTGGGTAGTATTACGCTAAATATGTACGGCTGCTGCATTTCGGGGAGCTGATAGGACTTTGTGGTCACTTCATTTAGGGCTTGAATTTCCTAATGGATTGTGTTAAGCCATCTTCCCTCTCTCCCCTGGATGAGAAGTGCTGTAATAAGCGCTTGCTTAAAATGATATGACTGTTTAAACAGTAAAGGAAAGTCATCACTAGTGTCTCAAAACAGCACTAAGTAATGCTGCAAATTATCCGTCCCTGAAGAGTAGCTGTGTTCAGAATTAGGACGTTTGTCATCAACCTAATAACAAAATATTCTCCTATACACAGGGCAAATGCACACTGAAGCGATGCATGCCCACTCATTCCCAGCTGGGAGAAGGCTTAGCATGAGACCACCTTGAAGTGCCCCCAGAGAGCAGCAGAAGTGCTCCGCAAAGCCCTGGGTTAGCTGGGTACTGACTGCTTCCAACCTCTAGTTCCTTCCTCGTGGTAGGTTTAGCAAAAATGGCAACGCAGTGAAATGAGATGGTACCTTGCTGACCTTGGGAGTGTTTGAACCTAAGCAGTTTAGTTGGAGGTGCACATCAGTTCTTCCTGCCTTTTGTCCCAGCAGAGTTGTGTCCCTTTGTGCTCCAGAAGCTGTGCCCCTGTATCCTCTGCATCCGTATGAAGAGGATGCAGAGAATCCTCTGCAGCTTCATGGGGATGGGGAGTTTGTAAGGAAAGAGACTTTTGCCACAGGTCTTTTTCAGTCATGATCATTTAAAATTATCTATCTTAGCAACCATGCCTTGCAAGAATAGAAGCTGAATTCAATAGATTTGAAATGACAGGGGGTCTTCCCACAAAGTGTAATTTTATCTAAATCACCAGAAATAAAGAAAAAAATAAAGTGATTTTACCACATTAGGCAAAAAGTGAAGTACCCCCCAAACCACTCCCCCCCAAATAAAAAATAACCCAAATCTGCATTCATGCTCTTACTGTATAATGATAACCTGTTGTGCATCATAATAATACCAATTAAAAGGAAGTGTTGCAGGAAAAAGGAACGTTTTGTACTAACGTTTGTAATTGAAGATTTAAGGTTTGGAGCTGTTGTGATGCTCCCTTCCTTAGAAACTTAATTTTATAGGCCATCTAATAAAAAATTAAGTACCAAGGAGGCACATAAGGCAAAAAGCACTAGACCACCAAGTTCTAGAATATTAAATTTAAAGGGAACAATTTAATTCGTAATTGGATCCAGTGAGTTTGAAGCCTGAAAATATTAATTTTGAAATCAAGTTTATTGACTCAGTGGGTCAGAAAAAAATTCATTATGGCCAAATAACCAAACCTGGAATGAAGACTGAATTCATAGGGGTCATAGGCTAACTTCACAGATCTATTAAAGCATAATTTACTTGATTTGACTAAGACTTCAAGAGACAAAGTGACTGTATCAGTCCGTATTTTATACTTAACCTTGTTCCCGTTTCACACTGCCTCCCAATCAGGAAAAAAGATGGTAGATATTTTTGTTTACAGTGCAGTCAAACTTCATAGAGGCATAAATAAAAGATTAAAAGTAAACTGCTGTTTAGCAGTATAAAGATGTAAACAGTGATGGCTTTTACCTCCCCATACAGGACAGTGATGGGCAGCACTGTGTGTGAGTCTGTAGCACAGACGGGCAGTGTGTTTTATGCTCTTTTATCTAATCTGTGTAGTAAGAATGAATGTGAACAATCAAATAGGGCTGTAAGAAGTTGAATGTGTTTAGTCATGAGTTCTGTTTCATTAGACAACTCCTTATGTTTTCAAATTATATTTAAAGATGATAAAGTGCACAGAACATCATAAAGCCTTAGGACTCCTGCCTGAGTAGCTTTTTTGGTTAATTAATGTATACCACTACGTGATTAATATGGGCATGCATATACAAACACATACTAAAGCCTGGGAGTAAACAGAAGCTATCATTCCCTCAAATTATTACTGAGTGTTGTCAGAAAAAGTTCTTTTGATTTCAAGCTTAACCATGCAGCCTAACAGTGCATAAGAAACACTTAACAATCTCCCTGTTAGGTCAATGAGTAATGGCAAAAAGAAAAGTTATTCTGTTACTTATGCACCTGCAAAATTTAATTTGAAAAATTATCATCATTCATGTAAGTTTGGAAAATTGCTTAAAGCAGCTTGGTGCAAATAATGCCCCTGACAAAAAAAAAAAAAAAGACTTGACTGTTACATCTTCCTATAGGCTCCCTTTCCATAATAAGTTTTGAAACACATGGGGCTCTGAATAGAAAGCCTGTTTTGCCTAGAGATTTAAATTGCATTAATTAGGTG